TCGCCGTTTTTTTTTTTGCCGTTTGCATTTTCAAGGGACATTTTTTGGGAAACGGTGAAACGGCCCTGCCGTTTCCGGGGCCCCCAAAGGTCGCGGAGGTGGTTGAATGGGGTAGGAGGTGGGAAGGATCTGATGGGACGAGGGGACCGGGTAGGGGGAGGGGAGAAGGACTCTTAGAAATCACCCACGCGTCTTAGCAGGCGCGGGCCTCGTCTGGAGATGCGGGGCGGGCGCCTTCTGAGGAGTAGCCCCCTCCCCCTGCCCCTCGGCATCGCTCGGACGTGTGCACCATTTCTCGGCGGAGGCCAGCGAGGAGCCTCTCGCCTCCCCGTGCGAAAAAAAACACGCACGAACCCGCAAACAAATGCACGGGGCATGGGCGTGTGCATCATTTCTCGGCGAAGGCCATCGAGGAGCATCTCGCCTCCCCGTGCGAAAAAAAACACACGCACGAGCCCGCGACAAAAATGCGCGGGGCATGGGCGCCCGAGCGATGGCGCTGCCCCGGGGCCTGCCGTGGGCCCTTAAGGGGGGCCGAAGACGGCGAGGAGACCCTCGACGCGCCCGCCCTGTGCTATCGTCCGCGAGGCCCCAGATTGTGAGCCGGCCTGCTGCGCGCCGCCGAGGGGGAATATCAGAGCGTGCATATTACCTGCCCCGCTTTCGCTTCCAGGCAAAACCAGGCCATATATCCACGCGCCTCCTCGTCAAGTGGCCTGACCAGCACAGGCTGCAATTTGGCATCGTCGGGTATCTCTTGGAAGCGAGGTTGGTCAAAAGCCAGGCAGGTTTGTTTTCCCCCTAGGGAAGGCGGGCAGCGGCGGGCAGCCCAGGTCGCCCCAGGCGCGCGAGGAGAAGCTAGGTGTCGGAAACACTTAAGCGACACTCATGCAGAACGTATGGTTCGAGCCTCCCCCCCTCCCCCCAAATGCCATGTTGGTTTCGGATCTTCCGATTTTGGGCCTCCGAGCGGTCTTGCGAAAACCTGTCAACTTTGAATTGCGGGGGAGGGGGGGAGTGTTGCTTAATTGTTTCCCTCAACCGTCGCGCTTCGAGCAGCGCGGCCTGGGCTCGGAGAGGCGCCCGTTCTCCAGGGCGGAGGCGCGAGTAGGGGGCCACATGCGAACCCTACCCCTACCCCCCACGATTTCTGAGGGGGAGGGTGGGGTTCATTCGGGAGCCCCCGAACGAGGTGAACCCCACCCTCCCCGTCAGAAATCGTGGGGGGTAGGGGTAGGGTTGGCATGTGGCCCCCTACCCAGGGCGGAGGCGCGAGGGCGCGGTGCGCGAAGCTGGGTGACCACCGGCAGCACAGGGGCCGTCGTCCACGTCGTCGCCGTCGTCGGGGCTCCAGAGTTTTCGGACGTCCTCGTCGGCTCCCGGCGGTCGTCCGGCCGCGGGGAGCTCCCCGGCAGCCGCGCCTCGCCGGGAGCGCTCTGGGAGTGCCCAGATCGTCCCTCACGGCAACCAAACTTGGCCAGGGACAGCTCGGCCGGGCGGAATTCGGCCAGCCGAGCTCGGCCAGGCGGAACTGGGGCCGGCTGACCTCGGCCACGCCGAACGCGGCCAGGCTGAATTCGGCTTGGGCCGAGCTCGGCAGGGGGAGGGACACACCACACAAAGACAAACAAACATCGATCTCCAGTACAAAACGTGAAGCGGAGAGGGAAACGAAAACCCCGAACACATGGGGGGGGAATCCCGGGATTTGTGTGTATTTGTTTGTGTGTCCCTGGCCCCTTTCAGTTCGGCCTGGCTGACTTCAGCCTGCCCAGGTTTCGCTTGACCGAGTATTTCCCCTGCGGCGCTCCCCAGCCCACGAGCCCAGGTCGATCCGAGCGCGCCGATTCGGCATCGATGTTGGCCCGCTCGATCCGATCCGCTTACGTCGCTCTGCCGATTCCTTGAATTGGAGTTCAATAAAACAGCTGTTCGGATTGAGTCCAATTTTTCGGCATTCGTAGAAATTGCTTTGAGCTCGACAAACCGTTTTCTTGAATGCAACAAAAAAAAAAGCGTCCGAGGCTCCGCCGATCCCGCGCAGCACGGGGCCTGCGTGGCTCTGGATGCGCTTCTTGGCGCGGCCGATTCGGTTCTATTCCGACTGCGAGCCGATGCCTTGGGGGCTCCAGCGCCAACCCAAGAGATCCGCGCAGACCTCAGAGTTTTCATGCTCATGCCATTGTTTGTGCCCCGATTGCAGGACGATCCGGCTCACATTCCGAACTGATCTGTGTGCGCATGGTTCGATGTTTCAGGAGGGAAAGAAACACACTTACACAACTAATCGTATATTCCCCTGAACATGTTGAGAACATGGGAAGTGGAGGGGAAGACAAACATCCAGAAAATATTCAAAATATTGGGGACCCTGGGATTTGTGTCTATTTGTTTGTGTGCTACTGGGCTCCTTTAACCTTGCCCGCCCCCCTCAGTTCGGCCCCTCGACGGGGCCTGGGCGGCCCTCTGCACACTGCTTGCCAACACGTCCTGCTGCTCCTGCTGATGCTGCTGCACATCCTCCTCCCCCCCCATTCTCCCTCCTGCTCTCCCTCCTCCTCTCCCTCCTTGTCTCCGTCCTCCTCTCCCTCCTCCTCTCCCTCCTCCTCTCCCTCCTCCTTTCCCTCCTCATCTCCCTCCTCTCCCTTTCCCTCCTCCTCTCCCTCCTCTCCCTTCTCCTCGCCCTCTTCCTCCTCCATCCCTTTTCCTTACAAGATAGCTTTTCCCTGTCGTCCCCCCAGGGTCCTCCTCTTCCCCTCTCTCCCTCCCGTATTTAACGGTGGCCTGACGCTTCGTGAAGTGACCATCCTTGTTGGCGTTGTGTTGCGACTGTATGTCGGGGTCATTGTCTCGGCTTGGAAGGTACAGCGTTGCACAGTGCAGCATCGGCTTTCAACCCTTTCGACTGGGGTCACGGGTCTGCTCTACGATCCCGTGTTTCGCTTGGCTGGTGATGCGCACGACGCGCGCGCGACCTCACAGACCAGGTTGCTGGCCCGAGGGTTTGTTGCGTGGGGGGAGGAGAGAACAGAACAGGCCTCGTCGCACCCCCAGACGTGTCGGTGGGGCGTGCCAGGCATTTCGCCAGAGCTTCCCTCATCATTCGTGGCCTTAAAGTTTGCTTGGCATCGCTCGGACGTGTGCATTTTTCCTTCGGCGAGGACCATCGAGGAGCATCCTTGATTATTTGGCGAAAAAACCACGCACGAGACCGAACAAAAGCACAGGGAATGGACGTCCGAGCGATGGCGAGTTTGAGACTTGCAGCAGCCTCACGGACGGAGGTGCGGTGGCTTTCAGCTGTGGTTCTCGCTTCCGTGCGGCGTGCATTCGTCTCTGAGGGTGCAGCCGTTTCACAGGCAGCGGGGGGGGGGCTAACATGTGGTTCTCGCCTCAGCGCCGCGCATCAGCGTTCCAGCAGTTCACGCACGTTTCCAGGGTGGAGGGCGGCCCCTTCTGCGAACCGTGGCTCTCGCCTCGGCATGCGTCGTAAACAGCTTGCAACAGGTTCAAGGATGGAGGGCGGCTCCTTCTCAGGCCGTGTCCTTTTTTTCGAAACGTGGCGTTCGCAGCAGCGCGTCGCGCCTTCGTTTTTTTTTAAGCTGTGCTGCAACAGCTTAGCGGTTGGAGGGCAGCTCCTTTAAAACAAAAAAAATAAAAGATGTTTCGCTTCAGCGCCGCACGCTCTCGTGCTCAGATTCTACAGCAGCTTCGCGGATGAGTGGCGGTTATTTCTCACACTGTGGTGACTCGTCTGGAACATTTGCAACAGTTGCAGGGGCGGGGGGGGGCGTTCGCCAGGTGTGGTTCTCGCTTTAACGCCACGAGCATCGTCTTAAGTGCTTGCAGCACTTTCTGAGGAGTGGAAAAGGGGGTGGTTTTCAAAGCGGTGATATCGCCCAAGCGCCGCGCGTATTCTTTTTAACTATTGCAGTGGCTTGGCGGATGGAGGGCGGCTCCTTTTCAAAGTGAGCCTCCCGCTCTATCGCCGCGGTCGTTCGTCTCGTAGTCTTGCAACAGTTTCAAGGATAGCACTTGCTATTTTAACAATGGGTTCTGCTGGTCTTCGCGCTGTGCACATTCGCGTTTTCAAAACACTGTTTAGCATGATGAAGGGCTGCTCTTTGTCGATATGGATGGAGTTCTCGCCTGAGACGTCGCTAAGGTTCAAGACTCGAAGCTTCAGCGCACGTAGCGCTGCACGGAATTACGACGGATCTTTTTTAAACTCGGATTCGTCGCTTAAGACGCCCTTGAAATTCAGTTGTACGTTTGTGCGATCGTTACACGGATGGGGCGCGGCCCTTGTCGGAAGGGGGATTTCTATCTTTCGCATTCTTGGTTACGCGCCAGTAAGATGCAAGGCAGTCCCTTGTTAAAGCGGGTCCCTCGCCCACATGGCAAGCCCAATTGCACCGGTCTTTCAACAGTGGCTCTTCTTATAGTGAAAAGAAACAGTGGTAGGGGCGTATAAGGAGGAAACGTGGGACGGGAGAGTGTATGGCAGCTTGGTTTATGCATCTTTTGTCTACTCTGGTACTTCTCATCCATCCTCCTCCGCCCTCCTCTTCCTTCCAAACAAATTTGGGTTCGAGAGCACCGTTTTGAATCCCACTCGACCAATCCCTGCGCCTCCGCGAGGTGCTTGGAGGACAGCGTGCCGTCCGCCACAGTCATTTGTTTTGGCAGGGAGTTTCGCTGACGAAAGCAGGGATGGCAGGCTCGCCAACAGTAGCACATTGCCCATGGTCGCCGTGCGCAGGTTGCCAGGCGCATGGGTACCATGACGTGTTGGTCGCTTGCAGCAGCGAGTTCGACAAGTGCAGGCGCCCAGTCAACGTATGCCGCCCAACATTCAAGAAGACGGAATGGGTGGCCAGCGTTGGTGCTTCAGGGCGCGGTCTTGGGTGCATTCGGATGGAGTTGGCAGGAGCAGTGGAGGAGGCAAGCCCTCGAACCTGGCAGAAAGTGCAGCTCAGGTTCAGGCCCTTCTCACGCATATGCTGACGACGGCCACGGTCGTAGCACACAATATGATCCTGGTGGAGCAGATACAGGCCATCAAAACCAATGCGTCCGCCGAGAAGGCTCCCACAGCCGACGACGCCATGCGGATAGCTTCGACAGCGTGGAATGACGCTTCATTCAAACATGAGCAATCGGCCAATCAGGTGCTGAAGTTGCGCGAGAACTTGAAGTGCGTGCAGGACACGGAGCAGGAAACAGCAAATATGCTCGTGATGGAGCACCTGGTGGCAACTCGATGGCAGCCTCCATCTAGTTGCCCGCGCAGGCAGCTTCGATGCCGGCGGGCGACGACGGTGCTCTTCTGGAGCAGGAGGGGATCGACAAGGAGGCGCGCCGACTGTCGGAGGCCAAGTTCAGGGCAGCGGGGCTCATCAAGAGCCCGGAGGCCGCAGCGAAGCCAGGGGCCCCCCCCGCCGCGAGGAAGGGCGGGCGGAGGCGAGCCCGACGACCCCGCCGAATCGACGCAGGCACCGTCGGCATCGATAAGGTTTCGCATGTTTTGTTCACGTTCCTCCCCGGTAATGTCTAATGATGGTCAGAGCCCCGAATCATCAGGGGTAACTCGGGTCAGGGGTAACTCGGGCTCCTTTTTCGGGAATCCAAACCCGAGTGACCCCGGACCCGAGTTGCCCCGGATAACTCGGGCGCCCAAGATGGGGCGACCAGGTCTGGGGCGTCATCAGTTCCAGTCAGGCGAGCGAGCGGCGCCGGTCTTCTGCCGTGGCCAAGCGCATCCCAGTTCGCAGCAGCAGCAGGTTGGTTAGGGGCGTAAGGCCCGCCCACTGAGTCTTTTTAGTCCTCGACGCCCCACTGGCCTGCGCTTCTTTCAAAGCAAGGGGAGGACGGGGTGCATGGTTTTACTTGCGGGCCGCAGGCAGGTTAATTGATTTCGCACTCCCATCGAGTATCCCGAGTTGTGTTCTTTCTAGTCAGGGCGGTTCGCCGTTTGATGGCGTCATTCCTGTTGTCATTCACCACAGTGGGCTTCTTGTTCGTTATCGTATATTATGGGATCTCTGCTTTGGGTTTCAATGAGAAGAATACTGGGCGACTGTCGCGAATCGGGGCGTCAGTCAGCTCTCCGCGGCCCCCCTGGCCCCTCGTGGGAGGTTTTAGCATGCCTCCCGAAAATATTGCAAAATGCGGTTTCGTTAGTTAGGCCAGCGGGGCGGTTTTTACATCGGACATAGATTTCACTTGCGCCGCAGGTATGGGAATCTCGCGCGCGGGCGATCCGATCGTTTCGAAGACAGGTTTCCCTTAGATATCACATGGCGATCTTGTAGCCGATGCGCCCAGGGGCACTCGAAGGCTCTCGCGCGCTCGCATCGGAGACTGGCGTCTGCCGCCCACAGCGTGCTCGCTTATTTTACCGCCGAATTTGCCGCGACAGGCTCGCTTTTCAAGCTCGCCGCAGCCTGGTCGCAAGTCGCAGAGATTCAAGGGGACCGCGCCAGAGTTGCCCATGCCAAGTTTGCAGATGCCCGCCATGTTTGTGTTTTTGCTATACATGAAAAAAGAGATGCGGCGGGCCCCGCGTTAGCAGCGATCGCGGCGGCGCTGCGGGCTCTGAAGGCCCCCAGACGAGCTTGTGGACCTTGTCCACGTCGTAGAGTCGGGGGTCTGGAGCGATGAGCCCGACCCCTGGGCCCGCGGGGCCAGCTGGTCCGTCGCCAGCCTCGGGCGACACAACGCCGCAACGAACGCGGGACTTAGGGGAGGGAAGGGGGGGGGGGGGGCGACGCAGAGGAGCCCGCCGCTCGGCGGGTGCCCCAGTGGCCCTCTTTCTCTCCGCGCCGCAAGCTCTTCGGCGCCGGCGCAAGGCCGGCGCGGGGTTTGCGCCGCGAGATCCCAGCGGAGCGCGGTCCGCAATGCTGAATCGGATCGGGGGCGACAGATTCAGTTCATTCGTGGGCCGCGCGCGTCTGGGCCCGCGCGCGCGGTCGAAGGGGCCATGGGTCGGCGTCGCGGAGAATCGCGAACTACGGCAGCGTCTAGAGCGCTCGGGCGTCTGCGAGTTGTTCACGGCGCCCGCAGGGCAGGGCACTTGGGGCGCGCCATGGTCGAAACAGGCAGCGACGCGGCGGGCGAGGCCCTACGCCGTGCTGTCACGCCATTGCATGCGTCGCGAGAGGAATAACGGCCCGCAGCAGATCGAGTATTTGAGCAGAGCGCGCGCACTAGGTCAGGGCTTTCCAGCGGGTGCCCCCGCGGTCTTCGTCCCGCGCAAAAGCAAGCGTTCCTTGGACTGATGGGCGCCTCGCATCATGAGCATTGACGCGATAAAGATGCCAATCGTTGGAGTTGCGCGCGCTGAGTCGCGCAGCGAGCACGCCGAAGGGCCGTTCAGGCTCCAGTTCGAGATTTTGCAGATTGAATTGCGCGGGGGTCTTCCCTGGGGCACTGCGTTGTCCCATTCGCGCCTGCGCCGCGGCCATCAGAAGAGTTTGAGTTTGAAGGTCGGCGGCTCTACCGCCCTGAGACATTGCAGATGCCAGGGTGAACGACGTCGCCCCCTCTCTGGGCCCCCATGGAGTTCGACCTAGGTTTGATCCAGGAGGTCCTCAGCGCGGCCAAGGTCGCCGGCCTTGGAGCAACAACTCGCGCCGCTAAGAGCGCGATCCTCGCGCAGCTTCGATGGGCATGAAGCCGAGGGCAGGTCTCGAAGTCGATGGGCCCGCGCTCATTGATCTCGACAAGTCACCCGATTCTGCATTGGAAGAGCTTGCTTGCATCTATAAGGCATTGAGAGCACGGTCGCGTGGCCGCGATAAATATTCGCGGTGCGTTGACCAAGGAAATCTCCCGGATGCCGACTTTTAGGTTCTTTCCCCATGTCTGCGTAGTTTTGAAATCCGGCTTGGGGCGGGCATCCTGACCAGAGATCGGGGGGCGCCATCCCCGAATGCGACGCCGCCGCAACGGGGGCCATCCACTCGCTTATTCTCTCTATCGAGGGCGCTCATTGCTGAGGTCGCCACCAAGTCGCAGGCAGCGCGCGTCCAGGGAGTTCTAGACAGTAGGAGGTTTCTATGCGATCATAATCGAGGCGACAGGTTCGTGCTTCCTACGAATTCCGCCAGTCGTTCTTGCGCTGGAGCTCCAATTTCTGCTTTGCCAGACTGCTGTCGCAGCTAGGTGCGCATTCGCTTGGATTCCAAGCTTCCAGGAACGTTCTGCAAGCGAGGATCGAGAAACGGGGCGGGGTTCGGAAGGCGCTTGACATTCTCGTTTTCAAAGGGTGCAGATTGCCAGTGTGGGGGAGAGGATCTCGGCGGATAATTTCAATCCTGCCGCCGCGGGCTCTCGGCGCCATGTTCAGAAGATGCTCGACGACGGGGGAACTGACCTTGACGGCCGCTTCAAGCAGCAGCCATTTATTCATGGCGAATGCGAGCGTAGTTCTACATGGTCGCGCAGTTGCGAGTGCATTTGTCGCGCGATTGAAAGCGCGTGGCGACAATATCGGGCCGGTTTTGTGCGCCTCCCCATGAGGTGCCTACGCGGGGGCAGGCAGGGCCCCGGCGCGGGGCGCGCGTCGTCAAAGGGTTGCCAAAACAGCCAGTCAGAAACAAGCGTTCAAAATGTTCGCGCACGCGTGGAAGAGGCATCTCGCGACGGAGAGGGTTGAACTCGCAGGGCCGCCGGCGGGGGCCTCGCACGGGGGCCAAGAGCGCGAAGTCTTCGGGCGGCGTCGCGCAACCACGATGTCGTCTCGCAGCAGTGGCAGGTCGAAGCGTTCTAGGACGCAGTTTCTCTCGTTTGTAGACATCAGAACGCCGGGGCAGGATCTTTGAATCCGCTTGCCAGCCAGTTGTTTGCGGCGGCGGTTGTTCGGGTGGATCCGTTCGTCCAGTTGCAGGGCAGGGGCGCGCCTGACTTGGCCAGTGGCACATCGGCAGGTGCAGCAAATCAGTCCAGGGTAACGCGCAGGTCATGCTTCTGGGCTGAGGCCCCGCTCAACCAAACGCATGGTGCGGCCCCGTCACTGGCGGCGCGCTTGACTTCACGTGGAATTTTCACGCTGAGCATCTTGAACAGGCCAGCGGCGTTTACCGAAGCATTCCCTGTGCAACAAGGGGGCAGGCCTCGCGTCGTCTCATCGGCGCAGGTCTCGAAGGCGGCGGCGAACATTGCAGTCCCCAGTTTGCGCTTGGGCAGTCGCAGGGGGCGCCGCGCGGCATGCCTGTGGCAGAGTTATTATCTGGCGTCTCGGCGGGATGCGCCCATGAAGCAGGTGCTGGGCCTCGGCCCTGGCACGGCGCGATCCTTGTCCTAGATGCCAGCGCGGGCCCGAAGCGCTGACGCACGGAGTCTGGCTTGGCTTTAAGAGCTGCGAGTGCGAGATTTACGTTGCGCCTCACCGCCTCGCGCCCGAAGCATTTGCGCGCGGAGGGGGGGGGGGGCGCCTATGCAATTTTTTGGCTGCGCAGAGTGATGCCCCAGAGCGGAGCCAGCATCGACCCGCCCGCGAGTGGCGAGCAGCGGGCGCTCGCGGGTTTACGCGGCTAGCATCCAGGGTCTCTTGGGCACGGCGCCCACTGGGGGCCTCTATGTCTGCGGGGGCGCGTCGGGAGGGCCTGGCTCGAGAGACCCCAGACTTTGGAGAGTTGCTTTTCCCGCCGTCGCAAGCGATCAGGTCGAGCCGCGCGCTCGCGAGCCCCCCATCAGCGGACCCCTTGCTGGCGCCTCTAAAACGGTGCTCAGAGGAGAGCTCCGAGCGCCAGGGCTACGCTTGCATCTCACCATTGGTTTCGCAGCAGCCTTTGTCTCAGACAGCGATGGCGTCAGAAGAGGCGGCTGTCGCCCAGCGGGGAAACGGCAGATATTTGGCGCAGCATAGATCAACATATGTTCGGTCGCAGCGCTGAGGGAGTTTTGGTTTTGCAGTCTGCGCCCCATTTGAATCCAGAGGATGTCGCTGTGGACGAGGGCGCCTGGGTGGATGGTCAGTGGCAGCGCGGTCGCTGACGAGCTCGCAGTTGGACGCGCCGAAACCCTTCAAGTTCCAGAAGCGCAGTGGTTCCACCTTCCCAGGGTCGAAAGCAAGGCCAGCAGGGCCAGGCAACGCCTAATGATATCGCCGCTTGAAGCTATCTCAGCAGAGAATGCCCAGAGGGCCCTGGACAAAGCGAGCCGTGGCGAAGCTGGAAATTTTGGCGAGGCCCCACTTTCGCATCCTCCCTCTCCGCCCGCGTCCGCCGCCGCGGCTCTCCTCGCCTCGGAGCACATGGTGGCCGACAGCGGCCGGGTGTGCACGAGCGACTTCAGCTTGCGCGCGAAGGCGGATCGCGGCCCGCGGCTGAAGCCTCGGCGTTTCGCATTTGTTCCCTTTGTAAGGGGTCTCAGTCAGCCTGCCCCGCAGGCGCGTCTTGCGGGGTGGCG